TTAAGTCATAGAATTTTGAATGAAAACATTTTTCGTGTTATTTAAACGGGCAATTTTGAATGTTCACTGATATTTTTTAAAATCTAGCCCAAAATCCGGCCTTGTAGCAATATTTCGTTCATTTCAATCTACAGGTGCAATATTAGTTTTTTTGTTTTTTTGACACACCCGAATCAACATATATATTATACATATTTATGCCTTATTAATTACTATATATATTATTAATATATTTGGGTTCAGTATATATGCAAAGAAACAATTAACCAAAGTAAATAAATTTGTCGCAAATTCGCTGGCGTTTAATCGCTCGACTCCGTATTGACGATCTTCAAACTCGTGATTAATTATAATTTTCTTGCAGTGGAAATTAATCAGCTTTATAAAAGCTTCGTCCCTTCAGATAAACGCATCATCAATTAATCAGCCACAAGTTGATGTTGAAATAATTATGTTAAGCATTTACACACACATATGTAGTACTTGTATATATGTAATAGCGCCAATGCACTGGACAGTAACGGTAATTTAAACACAATTCTGCTGCAAACCATTTCTCTTCTTGAACTCCTACAATCCACAACACGTAGGAGGAAAGCTGAACACACACACCGGCACCTCGAAGCCTGAAATTTATATAGAATAAATCTATGTACCATATGTACATACACAACTGCCGTCTGTGGTAACTGTGCTCTAATGACTTTGCCTGTTGCTTCTCTTTCAACTTCTTCTTCTTTGGGTTTTACAGAAATTATGAATCCCTTGATGGCAATTCAATCCACAAATGTGTGCGGGGGTTTCTGCAATTGCTTGTATGCACTCACACACACACACACGCACACACAGATGCTTGCGGTAATAATACAATAACATTTTCATACATGAACTTAAATTTAGGAGAAATTGAAGCAGCAACCGGCTCACCGAGCGCGCAAGCAACCAGCCAACCCTACTTAAGTGCACACCCCTCTCCAATAGTTTAGGGTTTTATTTCTTTCTTTTGGCTAATTACAAGCAACTTAACAAGAATATTGGCATGTCTACTCGGTGTTGCTGCAGTTTGTCGCTGCCGAAGCACTCGTGCATAAATTTTCTTAAGTGTACTTTTGCTGCAATTGAATTCAATGCTTGGTGAAACATTTATACGCACACAAACACACATCGATTTGACGAACATACTGTAGCGCCACAACAGCAAAGCAGTTGGGGTTCAAGAATGGATGTGCTCGGAGGCGAAGTCAATGTGTGTACGTGCTTATGAGCATTCAGCAGCGTTCAGTAGTTGGCAACAATGAGGTACTTTTGGGCATTCTTGTGGCAAATTGATTTTAACCTTCTAATTGTAGATTTATGTATGTGCCACATAGATAGATAGGCAGTATTTAATTTATTCGAGAACAAATTTATGGTTAATTATTTAGCTATTTGAAGGAGTGCATATAGAATGTAGAGGTAATTGTGCTTGCGGACCTTTGTCTTTTGCTCAAACGATATGTCTTTCACTAGTCGCTCCAATTGTACTAGTCTCAAAGAAATAAAGCTTATTTTAGCCATGTCAAAAATATATCAAACATCAGTTGAAGGTCAAGGCAATATCAATAGTTTTTTTCAATTAGCCTTGGTTCACAAGAACCTCGTCGTGGAGTGTTCATGTTAAAATTAATCTCTATATGTCAATTAGTTGTGTTTGGCAGCTGGCGATTTTTAATATTGGGAAAAAATTTAACAACGAGTTTACACGAATTTTTTTGTTTCCAATGAAATCACGACAACGTTGAAAATGTTGCCGAAGTGTTTTGGATAGTATACTATATCACGAACAAAGCATTCAGCGAAGGTCGTGAGGTCATGCGAATTGCTATTAATGCCGATTACATCGAAAAAGTTACAGTAACACAAAATGGATGCATCGTGAGTTCAAAATCAACCTATTCCCGTTGTATCAAATCAATGGAAACGACGACCACATTACATGAACTGGATCTGCAATGTCTTATGCATCAACCAATTGTTTTGAAGGCCAATCGCGCTACAAAAATGGTATTGAAAAGTAGGAAAATCGCTATAATCGGTCAATAGTCCTCGATGAAATCTATATTAAGTAAATAAAATACAATTTATTGTGTTCCGACCGACACTTAATCACGAGATTAAGGCTGTTCATTAGATTAGCTCACTAATCTACTAGGTTTAGCAAGATTTTCTTTTACAAAAATGATACTTGTTAATCTCATCACCGATTTGAAGCTAATCTACTGTTACTAATTTATATAAAACTAAAAAAAATATATAATTGTATGTACAAAAATGTGTGCACTTACAACGACAAAGCAACTTCAGCAAACGTTCGTTTAGCAGCAGAGGCTTTTCAGGCAAATTTTCACTTATTTCCACTACATTTCATGAATTAATTACACTAATAACACTTTAACACCCAAAATTAAACATAATAAACTATTTAAAAACGTAACTTTTCAAAAATAATCACAACTAACTTTCATGACGCACAAAATTCGAGACCTAAAAGGAAATGTTATATAAATGGCGGAAACACACAGCTGCTCCAATTTTTCATGTCTCGCGACATCTAACGGTCAATAGTAAATAAGAGGTAAAAAGCGCATATAATTCAATGATAGAGCGCGCACTTATTGCTACCGTGTGTTACTTCGCTAAAATGATAACAGCTTTGGAAATGATGCCGCGCTCCTCACTAATTACTTAAATTTCTAACAGTAGTTCTTCGAAAAAGGATACGCGGAAATACGATTCTGTTAGGTTATCTAGTCATCGATTTCGAAGTGCACTTTCGTAGTTTCAGGAAGAGACATTATAAATAACCAAATATAGCGACACAATATTTTGCAGCTGAAACTAAATATTACTTGTACCCATTATATACAGACATTCATATGTATGAATGTATTACATATACAAGTGGAACCTTTCGATTTTATCCAGTTATTTTAAAAATCAAAGCTAACATTTCAATCGGTTTATATCCGCAAAACATAATTTGAGCAAGCCGAAAGAGAATATGTCAGGAGTGACCTTCAAAGCAATAATATAGGTGCTTTTATCCATCACCTATTACCAGATATCTAAGTAACATATGTATGTATTCGACAAATTTGCAGGGCTTTACCCACAAGTTGAGGTGCTATTCTGAAGTTGAAGAGATTTAGAAATTTCTTATAAGAAAAATAGGTAAGGATTTGTAAAATATAAGCGGTTTTGTATTACTTTAAAATGGACTGGAGTTTAAAGGCGTTGTCCACTACATAATAGCTCTGTTAGATGCAATTTCCACTTTCCATCTGTCATATCTATAAAAAGTGAAACTCCAATATTTTGTGCGAATTATACATCGGTAGATCTGATTCTCTAAAGTTCACACCATACATTATCAAGTGGGCCAGCTATATCTTAATGAAGAAGTCGATTCAAATGTGAAATACAGGGCATATGGGGTCTTAGAAGCTCTCGTCTCTAAGGCAATTCCAAAATTTATTCAACCAAAAACAGATCTCTCAATTTCTAAATTTGTAGTAGAAGTACACAACTTTGACTGCCTTTGTATAAATTGAGCTAACCTATCTGGTAAAAAGGTTTATAAAATATTGAATATACCTGTTTATAAAAAAAAAAAAAATAGAGGTACTTTTTTAATAGGCGTTAGTCGTGTCAAACTGTCATATTATTATTTTTTCAATATTACTTGACATTTCATTAAGGAAATACTTAAACTTGAACAACGTTTACAAATCGTTCAACTTCATTACAAAAATTCACGTTCTGTAGAGAATGTGTTTCGTGTCTACTGAGCGTACTATTCGCAACACCATCCCTCATCTTGAGACCCAACATTCATTATTGGATAATATTCGACTGAATATACCACGTCCAGCACTCAGCGAAGAAAATATAACGGCCGTAGCTGAGAATGTTTACGAAGACCGTGGAGAGTCGATTCGGCGTCGTTCGGAGCAACTCGGACTGACGTATGGAGCGACTTGGCGAAAATACAGCTTGTGCAAGAATTGAAGCCGCTCGACCTACCTAAGCAACATCGTCTCGCACTGTTCGGCGATGAGTCCCATTTCTGGCTTAATGAGTATGTAAACAAGCAAAATTTACGCATTTGGGACGAAGAGCAACGGCTTGGTGTGGTTTGTCGGCCTGTGGAATCATCGGTCCATCAGTCTTAAAAAATAATGACGGTGAGAATGTAACCGTCAATGGCGACCGACTAATTGGTGCCTCAAATTGAAGTTCGTGATCTCGGCGACATTTTGTTTCAACAAGACAGCACCACTTCCCACATATCGCATCAATGTTTATTTGTGGATTTATTGAGAGAACACCTCGGTGAGCAGAAAATTTCACGTTTTGGTCCGGTTGATTGGCCACCAAGATCGAGGGATATCACACCGTTAGACTTTTTCCTGTGCGGATATGTAAAGTCTTAAGTCTATGCAGACAGTCCAGCTTCGATTCAGACCTTGGAGCAAAACATCCGGCGTATCATTCGCCAGTTACCAGTCGGAATGATCGAACGAGTCATCGAAAATTGGACTTAACGGATAGACCATCTGAGACGTAGCCGCGGCCAACATTTAAAACAGATAATCTTAAAGAAAAAATGCCAAAGAATGTTCTTTTGAACGATAATAAGCTTTCCCCATTACATCTGAATTTGCTGTATTTTTTTTCATTAAAAAAATAAGGAACCTCGATATGAATCAAACTATACAACCGGTCATTTTTTTCTCTTCGTACTTGCAAATATTCAACCAACAATAAATAAGCAGGAAGTTTAAATGCTTGAACTATTTTTCTACCTTTCTCTCCCTTCGCTCTCTCTCACTCAATATATTTTTTTGAGCAACCGCACGAGTAAAGTTTGTGAATCACTGACCAACTTTATTGCCAACAATAATGAAACCAAGCGCCAATGAGCGAATACAATACATAATTTCGCTGCTCGACGACGATCAGTTGACTCGCGAGGGTTGAAGTGCTGCAGTGGCATTTTCGTTGGCGTTTAGTAACCATATGTAGGTAAAAGAAAGAGCTCCTGTATAAACTAGTGGAGGCTAATCAAAAAATATACTTAATAGATAAAACAATATATAAGTAATTTAAGCGAAATTTAAGTAACACATGAATAAAATTGATAAATATATAGTTTGTTGCAGTGAATAATAAACATACGTGTAAATTGACGAAAGATGCTTTAAAGAGCGTGAAAAGTTTTTTAAATAAAAAAGTTGGCGCCGAAGCAAAAACAACAAGTACGTTATCAACGTGCGAGGCTGTGATAAGAGATAAGATAAAAGAAAATGGTAAAAAAATGTGTGAGAATAAAATAACACGGTCATAAAACGAGAAATAAATGTTGAAAACAATAAAAACAAAACAAAAATTAAAGCATGAAGTAATTGGAGACATTGAGCAGTGCTTATAAAACTTTCAACATATCTATATCTGCATATACATATATATACTACCTGTGCATATTTACACATACAAAAGGAGATAACGGGCACAAAAATAACCCACTGTTACTGAAATTTTTTAGTAAAGAAGAGAACGACCGAAACACCTTAGGCGAGTGAGTACTTTAACTTTTTATATATAAACATACATACAGATATACATACATAGGTGGGTTAGTTGGTGTTTAATGTGAAATCAGAACTAGTAATTCCCAAGAAGAAATACTTTATAAAAATTTTAATTATTATTATTTCTTCAAAATAATAAATATATACATTTAGTAAGTCACTACTAAAATGTCAAAAATCTTATAAAATACAAATCTGTATATAAAAAGCTTGTTCACTTAAGAAAAAATTAAAAACCGATTCCATGTATATATGTAACACCCATAACTGTCGCATAACTAATAACATGGCAGTGCGCAACAAAGAAAATTAGCCAAGAACAAAGTTAACTTTAGCTTAGAAGCGCGTTTTAAACAAAAAAAAAAAATTACATAAAATAAAAACTTCAAAAAAGCAATAAAACACATTAAAACTGGGTAAAACTGGGTAAAAACAAAAAGCGAAAAACACGTTAAAGCGCAGAGATAACTTCTGAATCACATACACTCATACACACACACGCACATAAGGGAATAGTTGACACTGTGGTGTAAAGCGGTGAGCTTCTGTTAAGTTCAGCTAATGCAAATGTGAAAAAGCAACAACAATAACAATGAAGAACGTGAGAAAAGGCAAATAATAAAGAAAAACTGCAATAACATGTGCAACTAATTGCTACAAGCCACCAACAACAACAAACGCCCATTAAGCTGTTGATAAACGTACCTACAAACATACCTATAAGCGCACGGATCACACGCTGATCTCGTCAGTTGTTGTTGCAGTAGCACTTCTATTGCGGATTTCACAGATAATGACCGCTGAGACGGGGTTCAACGTGGATATTCTAAAATATTATAGAAATTTGCATTTCAGCAGCTAAGCAATGGAGAGCGCGCCCATACGGCAATAACTAATTACGCTTACGCTTTGCTGATATACACACTTTAGGGTGCAACATTTTTTTTTAGGAAAATATTTTTTTTTTTTTTATTTTTATGAAAATATATTAGTATTCTTGTTTGATTTCTAAGCAAAAGTGCCTCAGCAAAGCGAACAACAAAAATTATGTTATGAAAATTCTTAAGAAAAAATTGTTTAGTATAAATTCATAACGAGCTTGATTGAAATTAGCTTTTTTATTTATGAATTCTTTGCATTTCCATAAAAACTTCTTAATTAAATAAAGTTTTATTCTCAATATTTCATTTGCCAGCTTTGTAAATTGTGTTCTACAAAAATTGTCTCACCCTAACGTGCATACGTTATTGCATATGAACCACATCGGCCTACATATTGACTCAGAACAAACAACGCAAAGCTCTCAGTTAAAACAGATGCTTCAAAAAAGCGCACAATTTGGAGAGAATTGTCATGTGTAGCGCCACATTTACCTCTATAGTATATACTTTTTTATTATATTCACACAAGTGTTATCATGTGCTATGATAAGTAATAGGTAATTATATGAAACACCATCGTTTGTTCAAGTCAATCGCCAGCTTTTTCGTGGAAACCTGAGCATATACTCAATAAATCTTTAAATAAAGTTTTCAGTGTATGTGCCTACGTATATTTTTATTTAAGTGGAAGGGGATGGTCACATATCGAATTCAAAATTTTGGCTAAACACAAAATACCAAAATATTTTCGAAGCAATAAACCCAAAATAGTGGTTATTTCTTTCATTTTTCTTTGGTTTATATGAAATTCTATTTATAAAGTCATTCTATAAATATATTTATGGATTTACATATCTTTATGTAAGAATATCATTTGATCAAATTAGACTCGGACTGAACCATTTAAACTACGTTCGAAAGCGAATCGATAAAAACTGTACAACCCTTTTTATATTCGGGTGAAGTTTGATCTCAAAATGTCAATTAGTGTGTTTTGACAGCTGTTTATTTTCGACGCAAAAAGTTTGTCTGGCAATTTTAACCATAGATTCTTATAGAAATCGTTGAAAATGTTGCAGAAGTGTTTTGAGAAGTCAAATTTCTTGCGAACACAAGTACTTGAGTGGCACAAAGCATTCAGTGAAGATCGTGAAGTCATCGAAAAATTACCTCATGCGACTCTTCCATTTACCTCTGTTAATGATGATAACAGTACTTGGAAATATGCGTGATGTATACAGAGATAGATAGCTGAGAATCATAAGATCTCTTATATTATAGATCAACTCAACGCATTTTTGTTAATGTTTTGGGTATGAATGCTTGACAATATATATTATACCTATACTATTATTTACTTAACCTTTATCTCTAACCCGTCTATATCCATTTCATAATTGCTTTAGGCTTTTAAAATTTCTGAGCAACAAACCAAAGCCACCATAACTACAAATACGTTTTCAAACAACTGTAATTAGTGAACTGACTTAATGGTAATTGGCAAAATGTCAAGAAAATACGTTAAACTATTGGTTTTATTGCCAAAATGAAAGTAAGGTGAATTCGTTATTCGGTAGCAAAAAACAACAATAACAGAAAAGCACATCATTATATATTTACATATTGTCATTTATGAATAAATGTCAACCTTTACATATTCATTTTAATTAATTTTTTACATTCGCGCTTGAAAATTGAAGAAAATTTGTAGGCAGAACGTGAAAATTATAAAAAATTAGCAAAACAGTATCTCGAAAACTTTTAGTAGCCTCATACAAACTGATCCACAATATTTGAAAATCAATATATTTGCATTACTTTTTGGAAACTTTTTATTAATATTATTTTATGTTGTATGGTGTTACTAATCAGCGATTCAATAAAATTGATACATGTACCTTACCTACCTTCTCGAATGATTATAAAAGTTGTATGCATTAGAGTTGCAAATCATATTTCTTATACCATATACATACATACTTTTATATGTACATATATACATACACACATGCGCTTAAATATTACTTATTATGGGTTGTTGTTGCCAATTGGGCGTTTGCTTGGCGAAAAGTTACTTAACTTTACAATTGAATGACTTTAACAAATTTATAGCGTGTTTCATGCACAAACGTATGCTTGTTCAATAATATTGATGTACATATATATACATATGTTTGCATGTGGATGTGATTAAATGGAAGAAATATAATTCAACTGGAGCATTGGCAAAATTATATGCACTTCCTGGTTGTTAAACAAGCTATTACTTGAATATGTTTAATAGTTGTACGTATGTTTGTACATATATACTTATTTAAACATATGTATATAAATCAACGTAATTAACATATGCTTGTGCAAGAGTTGAGCATATGGACTAAATTATTATTATAATTTTTTTTTTTTTTTTAATTTAATTTCAGAACTAATACTCGTCTTTGAACTAGTTCTGAAATAATTGTTTTTGAACTATATATTTTAACAAATAAACTTTAACTTAATTAGTCCTTGTTGTTTTAATATTTGTTGCATTAAGTTATGATTAACTAAAAACTTTAAAATTTAATTTTTTAAATTTATATTTCAGTTTATATACATACATATGAGTATATATTTTAAAGTCGTGGTGGGTGGCCACATGTCTGAAAATTGCTTACCAGTAGGGTTGCCACACTTTTTTTAACACCCTCAGTTTTTGACATATCGGTCTATATTCTTTCACACGTTCTTTTCTCCCCAAGATGCTATTCCTATCCTTCCAAGCGTCTACACAACTTTATTTTATTCCAAAAGTTTGAGATAAAATAATGAAAAGTATTTACGTTTGGCATTGTTACACTTCAGTTTTATAGATTTCTCACATGTCAGTGGTTAAGCAAATTCCGCAATATATAGATATGTAACCTGCCTAACCTCGTAACCCACTTACATATCTATTATTACGAGCTTTAAACATTATTCATAAAAAAATCTTCTAAATAATAATGAATGGCCGTCTTGTAATAGCTTTTGAAGACTTATTAACAGATCTATATTATCTCGTTTATAAATATTGTTGTTGAAGCAGATACTGACAATTGAGTGTTTGTTATATATAATTAATTTCTCTCGTCATAATCTGAATATCTTTTTAGTAGTAATGAGTGCAAACCAAATTTTTGCAGTGGCCTTATATTTATCTATTATTAAATTAAATCTTAAATTTATTTTTAAAAATCAACTGTGAAATTGAACTCAGTGTTCTTTTAGCTTAAAAGGATCAATATTAAATGATTTTCTACAAATATTTTACTAGAATAAAGTTATGACTATTACTACTACTTGATATGCTCATACAGTATACTTTAGTCATAGTTCTAAAATAATCATAATAACTATCGTTACAATATACAGAAAGATGTATGGAGTTTACTGAGGGCAAGTAACCACAAAACTTTTGCAAATCATACCGCTTACACGAAAGTCAAGTATCAGTAAAAACTATGAGTAATTTCTATACTGGCTATATTTATCCAGGCTTTTGTAAATTTACAATAAAAACTGGATTATTCAGCTAAGAAGTGGTAAAGAATTTTTTGTTTTTCACCAAAAACCGAATGAAGTAAAAATTTGTATCTCAGTGCCACCTATCGTCAACTTTAGTGAAATCCCCCGAACCAAAATAAATAGCATATCGGAACTTTAGGGAAATATTTCATTACTGATCGCAATTTTACAACATTTTTTCTGTATACAGGGTCACCAACTTTAAATGTATGTAAAAAACTCTATTGTATAAAGAATGATTTTGGCATATTGTTATGGAAGGTTCAAGCTTTCATTTACTTTTGGTAATAAAAATTTAAAATAAATTTTAATAATTTAATTTATAATAAATTTTATAATAAATTGTTACAATATTTTACAAATTAATTAAAGTTAATTTTCGATCAGTAAAATACTTAGAGTTTTTCAATATTTTACTGAAAATATTCATTTTTCGAAAATACACAAACAATTCTCATTGGGTTCATAAAGTGCTAATGACGCCACAGTGTGCCTGTTAATGTTTTAGATCTCTGTGCTCCATTTAGGCGTTAGCCCGTTTTTACTTGCTGATTTCACCGTTTTATTGTCGCCTCCCAGTGGTCATTAACATCGGTGACTCAAGTCGAGCTCATCAAATGCGCGTAACTCGTAATGCAGACTTAAATATATGTACATTTGACATTGCTTTTGTTGTTGAAATATATAGTTTGTTATTTTAGTTTTATTTTCATTGTTTTACAAGCAACACGCTCGCACATGCCTACATTCATATTTGCATATAAATAAATGCCAGCCGCTTCACGCATATTTTATCTGCTTATCTGCTACATTCATACATTTTGCATGATCGCTGATGCCACTGTACAATAACAACAATAACAGCACAATACCATGTATATGTACATTAGTTATTTTATGGTTGTTGCCGCCACAGTTGCTTATTTCCGATGTGTCGCGGTTCCGAGTGCAAGCAACAATGCGCGTAAGCAGCGCTGTGGACAGCAGCGTCGACAGAGAAACAGTAACCGCAGCAAAAGCGATCGCCACCAAAGCAACAAGTATGCCACTAACTGTACTTGTAGTAAATATTTAGTTATAACTCTCAAAATAACGAAGCCAGCCATGGGAAATATGCGCAGTCAGCGTCACTGTCGATGCGGCAAAGAGTGCGCGGCACTCGCGGCAGTCGCTAGCGGCGCTGATCGCTTTGCTCACCTTGGCGATCGACCATAGGCGCTGGCAGTTCGCTACAGCGCTTCGCTGTGACCTGACCGAGCGTGCCTACAGTCTAATGTTAGGCAAAAAGCAACGAAAAAGTCGGAAGCAAAGACGGAATACCAATTCAAACGGGCGTGTTGTACGCTACAGTTGTTAAGCCGTGTCTCTGTTTCGCCGTGTTGTGTTTATTTCAATGCTCAGTGTGACTATGAATTTCTCAGACAGTTGAAGATCGCAAATTAAAAAAAAAACGACCAAACTATGGGAACAATTGGATTGTTGTTTAAAAATACATAATGCAAATACTTGCTGATACAATTGTGTGAAAAAATAATAAAATAATTGCGAATACTACATATGTTTAATTAGACTGCGATTTGGCTGCCGTTTGCGTGACGATCTTACAGTTCATATTGAAAAAAAATATTACTTATAAAATAAGTGGAGGTAAATGGTAACATATAATGACTTTAATTTTAACCTAAGTTTAATATTGCCATATTGATATGTAAGTGACAAACAGGAGAGACAGAAAATGTTTGTCATAAAAACAAAAATAATAAAATAAAGTTGTTCAAATATTAATCAAATACAAACATATTATTTTTGTTGGAGTAGTATATTTTAAGATGGCAAAGCTTCGGATTAATTATATTAATAATAGTAATATTCATTAAAGTTATTCATTGCTCAAATCAACGTTATTATTAAATTCAACAACATTTGTGATAACGTGTAAACGACACGTACAGGAAACTAAATTGAGCACATATAATCGACTCGGAATATATGTCAAGATATAACGTTATATTTAATATTTAAAGTTAAAGTAAAAGATGCAGTATTTATTACAAGGCATGTAAATTGTGTATTTGTTTTCCAGAATTTTTTTTAATAATTTAGAAAATTTAGAAAATTATTTTTAACCTGACCCGACTAACCCAACCAAACTAGTTGGCCGTTTGTTGTACACTATTGATACAAATTACTTATATACCAAACAAAGCATCAACTTATGCATGAAATATTGTAACCGTAACATGTCTAGTTTTTTATAATTAAATTTTAATTTACCAGTGTGCCGGTACAAAATGATTTTTTTTTTTGTGGATACCATGGCAACAGAAATGTTCGTCTTTTGAAGCAAATCAATCAGACACCCAATTTTCGATTTCTGCATTGGAATCGAAGTGCTGCTTATCCAATGCGTGTACCATTGATGAAAACAAATAGTAATCGGAAGGTGCCAAGTACGGTGAATACGGTGGGTGGGGTAGCAGCTATCAGCCAATTGCTTTGATTGTATCCTGAACCTATTTTGATTTGTGTGCAGATGCATTATCGTGTAACAAAATTAATTTGCCGTGTCTTCTGGCCCATTTCTGGTCGTTTTGCGATGAATGTATTGTTTAAATTTATCATTTGGTGTTTGTAGCGATTAGAATAACCAGTTTCGCATGTTTTTAGTAGCTCATGATATACCACACCCTACTGATCCCATCAAACAGCATTGCCTTCTTACCGAATCGATCTGATTTTGCAGTCGCTGTTGATGGTTGTCCCGGACTAACCCATGATTTTCTTCGTTTAGGATTCTTAAAATAAATCCATTTTTCATCGCAAAACTGATTTTCTTTTGTGTCTTTGAAACAAAATATCACAAGTGTTTTATCGGCTTTCTATTTGTCTTTCATGTAATTCATTTGACACCCATTTTCCACACTTTTGGATGTTTTTCATAGCTTTTAAAAGGTCTGAAATTATTTATTGTATTGCTTGCAGTTCAGCGTCTTCAAGCTTATTTGGTGGTCTTTCACGTTCTTCATTTCTCATCAAAATCGTTATCTCTGAACCGTTAAAATCATCTTTTGCATGTTGCTCAGATAGAGCATGATCTCCATATGCCTCGATAAGCATTCTATGTGACTCTGCAGCAATTTACTTTAAATTGAAACAAAACATTATTGTTTTCCGCAAATCATCACTTTCTGGTACAAAATTTGACATTTTCAACACAATGAAAACATATGCTGTGGTTTGTTCAATGACTGTAAGGTTATGTATTGTATTTTAAAGCTCACTTCATACCGGTACACCTGTTAACTTCATTTCAACATAGAACTTTATGCTTGGATACTAAGCCTTTTGCAATAATCATAAATTCTATATATTCCAGGACTCTATAAATAACTTTTTCACATAGTAGAGGTGACCACCCTAATGTCAATTATGTGAAATATAAATAAATGTTTTACGAGTGAAATTCGAAAATCCATTCATTTCACCGATAGCATTTTGGTTTATTAAGCAATTATTTTATGAAATGCTAAAAGGAATAACCAAATATTTACATATTATTTTTATTTCTGTTTTGCTCAAAAGTTCCATAAAATAGCTTGATTACCAATAAATTAATTGATAATAAGCCGATTTAAAAGCTTTGTATACTTTTCGGCGCCATTATATAATTTTTATGATCTAGAACTAATTTTCGGGGAGACCTATGTATATTTGTAGTCGACAGGTAACTTTTCTGAAAAAAATAATAAGACGATAAGGCATTTTATTAATTTACTTATATTTTATGTATCCACTTAGCTTTATCATAATTATAATCATCTCACACAAAGATCCTTAATGCTCAATAAATATGTATGAATATTTGATTTTTTAACTATCGTGAATTTGCAATAACCTCACAAAATTAATCGGAATCGTATATAATAAACAAAGCGAATTGAAAAGTATTTTTAATGTCTTCGAACTTACTCTTAAATAATCTTATTTCTCTCAAATGCAGCTGCATTAATATGTCTAATCGTGTTTATAGCATGTGTTTACAGTTATTTTTAGTATGGTATTATATAACAACAACTTTTACTGCGTGTACCGTAATGTTAAAGTTATTTCTAAATCATGTTATCTGTTAAGATAAGAATTAATTCTTATTAATTTTGCTAACCTCATCTTTATGCTTCTTTGTGGTGGAAAACTGAAAGGAGTTGATATATAGGTATCTATAGTACGTTTGTATTTTATATTTACATATTTAATATTATATAAAATAATATAATATATGTTGTGTTTATGGTAATTCAAATTTTTAATGTAGAGCAGGTCGTTTGTTTTTTAAATCGTGTAGACTTTAGGCAAATCAAGTAATATAGCAATCGTTTTTATATTTTAGGTAAACTATATTTTAGGTAAACTCATACAATTTTATGATTGACTACAACAAAAAATAAAAAATGTATATAAGAAATAATCTTAGAACTTTTTGACTTTCGTCTTGATTTATACGTATGCTTAATTATTACATTAAAACTCATTAATTTCTTCTATTTTGATTTACAGTTAAATCCTTGGCATAACGCATCACCTTCCAAGTAGACTGTACACCAACATCAGAATTCGTGATTCAATAATTTCACTGACTTTATAATAAAACATAACCAACATGACATCTACACCTGCGACTGATTTGGAAGCGCAAGTCAACGTGGAGGATCTGCCGTTAACATTCAAGGTAATTCAAGTAATCTTGTACACATTTTTTATTTCAACTTAAGATCTAAAGAAACTTCTTCCAAAACGTTATCTTATCAGCACGTGCTGTGTTCGAATACTTTAATTAACGCTCCAATTATTTCTGAAGAAGACGTCCTACTTAATTTAAATAAGTTAATACTATCTTTTAGTTACGGCCCAGACATGATACCCTCATTCTTCATAAAAAAGAGTGCCAAATATATCTACTTGCTTTTGACAAGGATATTTAATTCCTCTCTTAAACACGGTCGATTTCCTTCAATATGGAAACAGTCATTTATAATTCCTTTGGATAAAAGTGGATTTAGTTCCAACATTGAAAACTATAGAGGTATCGCAAAACTATCAGTTATACCTAAATTTGTTGAAGCTATCATCACGGACCATATAACCTTTTCGATTTCTCCGTTAATTCCCTCATCTCAGCACGGATTTCGTAAAGGGAAATCGACTCTTGAACTTGCTTGAATTTGTAAACCATGTATAATTGGGTTTTAGGGAAAATAAGCATACGGATCTTATATACACAGGCTTTGGCAAAGCTTTCGATAAAGCAAATCTCTCGATTCTCATACATAAAATTGGTCTGTTGGGCTTTCAGCCAAGATTTCTTTAATGGGTAGCTTCCTATCTTTATAATATAACACAACGAGTAATATAATATTTGAGGATACACCTTCAGATACAATTAATGTTTCTTCTGGTGTTCCGCAAGGTAGTCATCTTGGCCCGAATCTGTTCTTGTTGTTTATTAACGATATCTCTTCAGTAATAGAATTCTCAAAAATTTTATTATACTCTGACGACGTAAAGCTTTTTAAATCATACACTTCAACTGAGGAAAGGTATCTGTTGCAAACAGACTTAAACAATTTGGTTGCATGGTGTGATAGAAATGATTTGCCATTGAATCTCAATAATTGTAAGACGATGTCCTTTTCTCGTAGATCTGTGCACCCCTCTTCTTATATAATAAAACACCATATTCTGGAGCAAGTTTTTAACTATGTTGATTTGGGAGTTCATATGGACCCTAAGCTTAATTTTAGTCTTCATATTGATATCATGGTCTTGAAAGCAAAAGCTGTCCTCAGTTTGGTTAAACGTTGATCTAAAGAATTTAGAGATCCGTATATTTTGGTTAGACCTATATTGGAATATGGCTCTGTTGTATGGAACCTTAGCTACCAAATCCATTCTGCCAAGTTAGAGTCTGTTCAAAAACAATTTTTACATTTCGCCTTAGCGCATTTCTGATGGGATTCTAAACGAACCATTTCGCCGTATATGTCATGATTTTAATTATCATTCCAGCACATTTAACTAATCTGACTCACTATATTGTTTTCTCTTAATAAATTAAAATGTAACAATTTATTATATCGTAACTATAAATTTTAGCTGTTGAAATTTTTGTCGGCTAATTCCGCACGTATGCGGACTGCGCCCCTTGCGTCGGATGGGCGGGAGAAGGGGAAATCAATAGGTTATTATTTTTATTATTAAGGCTAATGAATTATGTGTTTCTCATTGATTAACTAAGGAGTGGAAGTCTATTGCATCTGAAAATATGGAATACCCCCATAAAAGTATTGTTAATTTAGATACCTTTACCAGAAACTATTCTCAAGCTATCGAATTTGATCACCTAAAATAAAATGTTTCTAGTTGTTATCGCTTATATAAAAAAAACCTATGGTATTATCCCATATCACTTGCGGTTTAATTATGTCAAAATCTCTGACTCAGCTCCTAAGCAGCTCATTTTAGCATCAATGATTCTACGTTATAAGGTCTCTTCTATTCATTCTACTATGTTTAATTTTTGTAGATCTTTAGAGCTCTCATGTACTTGTTGTAAAACAAGCCTAAGTTAACTGGGTTTAAAAAATTGTAAAGCTGCCCAGTTGGATAATGTGGACTTCAGAACGTATTTTTGGGAAAGCTAGGCAAATTCCGATCGATATAATACAAAAGGTGTTATTTTTTTATAATGATTTTAAAATCATTTTCATCTGGTTGGGATTATAAACATAATACTAGGTAAGAAAGCTGACATTTAAAACTATTTTAAACAGAATTTACTAGCAAAAAAAAATTGTTAACGTGTGTTTTAAGTGCCACAGTCGTGATAGAAACAAACTTGAGATTAGAAATAACTTTTATATTATAAGTAAAGCTTGCATTCATGAAGATATACTAGGAAAACATTTAACTGCATAAAGGAGTGTTTCTCTTCCTGAGCACCGATCTCTTCTCAGGTTGTCAGTGCACTCTGCTTAGAGCTTTCAATAATTACTATTCTCGATGTTGCAACAATTTTGATACACAAATACATACATATTTTGTATATATTAATGTACCATCATAAATCATAAAATAACATAAAGCAATCATTTAAATTAACCGAATCGCCAAAGCGTGTTAGTAAATCGAGCTAAAAAATCAGACCGGAAGTTCGTTGATGGCCACAAAATTACGTGTATATTTAGCAGTTTTTGAATATACTTGGGTTCTTAAATATCAACAATTATTTATCGATGAAAATATACCATTCTAGCTCATTGTGTTTGGTAATTTCACATTTTTCATATATGTGATATATACGCATATAAACACAAACTTTTATTTACTCACATAAATACATATGTATGCATATACTTATATAAGCGAAAAGCTTGTGAAATTATAAGCTGTACTTTAAATGTAAATAAATTTAAATATATAATTATATATAATTTACTATGTACATAAGTATGTATGTATGTACCCATGCGACGAACCACTCAATGACTCGTGTTGCACACTTTTTTTCATCTAGCAAGCGAGCCAAGCGACACACATCGCTGCACATTCGTCGATAGCTATTACGAGCCCATGCTCACTACCAAAACCTTGTGCATACAATTGATTACAATTTATTATATTTTATTATTTACACAAGCTTGTAATACTATTCTAGGCTGTTGAGCGCTACTGAAATTCGAAAGGGCCATATGTAAAGCTAGTGTAAGTATATCGGCCGCTTTATATATTGTACATATCCATATGCTACGTTTTCACACTCCGTCCATTATATTTTGTTTGGTTAGCTCTTTAAAAAAAAAAAAAAATATTCGTGTTAGTCTGGCAGTCGCTCGTGGAAGTGCGCTCCGTTACATCCGGTAGCTGCGCATGCGCAATGTTCTGAACAGTTACGGTCTGTATGCAAATGTTCATACATACTATGTATACTTATACAGTACTGCAAACATAAACAAACATGGATATGTAAATATTTATGGTCCCTGGACGTTCGAATTCTATTAGAGATCACTTGGTAAACCCCGAAATTTCGGGATTCCAAAATAGTAGCGATAAGAAGCCTACTCGCCACTTTTATAAAATATTTATGTACGGGCAGGCTTTCGAAGATTAACTCTGGTTCGAAATATTTACAGTTCAGTACGCTATCACGCCCCTTTTCCCTCACATAATTTTCCAACATATTTTTTTTTATATTTTTTTAAATATTCATGACATATTTGTTTTTCATTATACAGGTCAAATACATTGGCTCCGAGGTGGCACGTGGCTTATGGGGTATTAAATTCACCCGCCGACCGGTCGATATCATGGTGGGTGTAGCCAAGAATTTACCCGCTAAGAAAGTCTTACCGCAATGTGATCTCACAGTATCAACCGATGGTGTTAGAATTGAAATCATAACACCAAAAGCGAATGTGAATAATTGGAAATGTCCGATAGATACGATTTCGTATGGTGTTCAAGATTTGGTCTACACTCGAGTATTCGCTATGATTGTGGTGAAAGACGAACAACATCCACATCCGTTCGAGGTACACGCTTTCGTGTGCGATAGTCGCGCTATGGCACGGAAACTAACATTTGCTCTAGCGGCTGCTTTTCAAGACTACTCGCGACGCGTTAAAGAGTCGGGTGAACCATCGGCTACCGATAACATTACGCCACATCGACAGAAGTTCGCCATCGATTTGCGTACACCCGAAGAGCTGCAGGAGGGTGCCAATGAAGAGACGGAGGCTTAGCTGGTTCCTGCTGGTAGTGTAGCTTTTCGAAGTGAAAATATATATTAAATTAATTTTATTGAACTTTTCTCTTACAGTTCTGGAAGGAATACCTACGCGCTCAATAGCTGATCCATTTGTCTAAAAAATACATCACACGATTAATTATGCGATACAGCTTTTTACTATGGTTTTATTTCTATGTAGTATTAATTTACTCGTTAGATAATAATATTTTAAGCCAAAATAATTATATTTAAGTTATAGTTACTCTTCACATACTCTATAGGAGTGCGCTTAGGTTCTTCAGCTTTCACGGGACTTAAGTCGTTAGTATTTATTTATTCTTAAAAATCCGTGCGACAATTTTTAACGTGATCCCACCTAAAAGCTTAGACTTTTCCAAAGCCCTCCAAAGAACCGAGGTCGCTCCGAGATCGAGAAATTTTTTTTCGAGCCATTCCTGGCTGTTAATGCAATGTTGCTTCTGCTTAAACCAATAATTTTAGTGACTTCAACTAATATTCCCATAACATAATATTTTTTGAGTAAGAACACTATCATAGTAATAACTGATAAATACTAAAAGAAATGATGAATCACTCTATATTCTTATAACCTACTTGTCGCACTTTATAATAGAAAAGTATATGGTCTAATATACCATAAATAGAGAGAATATTTTCTTTCTTCTAGTGAGTGCTACACAATAAAAAAACAAGAGTTGCAGAATTTCATGTCGCATTAGCAAAAGTAATCTGCAGTCTATGAATAGTAGGCTAGTAACCTAACTTTGTTCCTAGTGAAAAATTATATGTTTGAACTTTTAAGCAACACAGGAAGCGACAGCGAAACAACGTCTTGAAGCCAGCTTCATGAATATAATTTCGTTGTTGCCGTACCAAAACCTTTCACTTCCATAAAATTTAAATATTTTGTTAAAAGTGAAATATTTTGTGCAAAAAATAAGTAAATAGATCGATTTATATGTCTTAAATCATCAGTTGATATTAAAATTAAAGATAAATATATTAGAGCTATTTTATGCTTCTGTTCGTAAGACAGCGTTAGGTTTGTATTTAACATATTAGTGGCATCACTGCAGCTACCAATTGTCGTCGGAAGAATTAGAAATGGTTTTAATTTAGCGACAACGACAACTGCAAGCCTACTGCCGTAAAGTCGTGCTGTTGTCTAAATTAATGTGCCCATAAAAATGCATGGCTTGTCACCAGCAATAGTTTTCCTGAGCACAATTTCCTAGTTTGCAGGCAGCGGCTATTTCTATTTGCCTTTTTTTTTGAACATTTAAAAAATTGCTTATGAAATATAAATTAAGTAAAATTTAAAAATGCTTATAAATAAAACAGTAGATTTTCCTGAATGAATGAATTTCAATTAAAGAATACTTCTAATGATGTCGCTGAAGATCCTCAGCATTGAGTTGCCGGTTAATGGTGCATGTCATTTGGTTACCAACAATAAATCTTTAGAGAGTTAGTATTCTAGTTGTTCACCTCAATTTTTTCCTGTGGACCTTAATTTTTGAAAATATTTGCAAAAAGTAAACTCCTAAAATATTTGGAACAGTTTATAAAAAAATAAGGATCCGCGTTGAAATTTTAAAAACTGAAAATGCTTTCGTTGACTCCAAGTATAGAGTAATAATATAGAAGCTGCTTTATAAAGACCAAAGTATTTTTAATGTGATTTAAAGGTTATTTTTGGGTTGTTAGATGTATGTTGTAACGGCAGAAATTTACAAACGGTCAGATTAAATAGTTTGTAAAAAACAAATATTATATTTAAATTAGTTTTAGAAATTTTGACTTGTTTTACAAAGAAACTTTATTTGTACATACATAACCACTTGTACAGAATTTACTTGTATTTTTCCCTGATACAGCTAGTTACCCAAAGTATAAGACAACTTAGTGTATGTAAAAGTATAATTATAAATATATAATAAAATAAATTATATGGAAAAATTGTAAATTAAAAGAATAAGTGTTAATTTATTAATCATGATAAAATATTGTGAAATCAGTGTATAGTTATATTGATTTGCCAAATTTTCCGGTGAGAAAAGCAAATTATAATATTATATTCTCATAGCAAAGTTCGCTTTAGTTAAAAGATTACAACAAAAACTTAAAACTAACAAAAAACATACAAAAATTTCAAGAAAGCCAACAGCCTTTTTTATTTTAAATTTCGTAATTAAAAACTTTATAGTTAAGTTTTCGGCTAACATTTTTTATAGTATTTTTACTTCATTATATCAGCGAACGGTTTTTGAAGTGTAGTTGAATAATTTGGTGCTAGCTCCTAAAACGGCTTTCAAAATGTAGATTAAAGTATTGATGTACTTAATTTCATGAAATGTGTGTATATATAAATATACTTTACCTATGTAATAAATGTCTAGACTCTACAAATGTACAATATTCCATATAGTTTTTAATAAACCTCTGCAAGCCAATTAGCGGTTAAAACGATGGTTAATTACTTACCGCGCTACCTACAATTGGCTGTTTTTGGAGAGCAAAATAGTTTACGTATATATATACGGACGAATGACCCATTAGATATGGCTAATACCATTCAAGCTACTTATATCGTAATTCAATCTGTTCTCCCTAAGAAGAGCCAAATACTTCGAGTAAGTATATATTTGAGGTGTAGATGTTACAGACATCTTTTGATGCAAAGTGGTGGCTTTATGTAAACACGGTTATATAATATAAACACGGTTTTCATCTCCAAATCTTTCCATTAATCAAATGAAGTTATTGTATTTATAAAGGGTGCTTTTTAGACATGTGATTTTCAGTAAAAAATAAAACGCATATAATTTAATGTTATAACCAGGAATTTAACTTTATTACAGAGGTAAGGGTTATGTTTTCAAAATTATTTCGGCCAAATGATTGCCGCGGCTCGCTCGAATTAATTTTATGTCAGCAATAATGCGTCGAATATTCTCTTCTAAGGCGTCAATCCTCTCGATTTTTTCTGTGTAGACAAGCGACTTCACATCATCCCACCAAAAATAGTCCAACGGTATTAAATCGCATGATATTGAAAACCAACCACATAACCACGCCATATTCCCACGATGCGAGATTATACGCGCACCAAAAAGTTTCTTCAATAAATTGATTGTTTCGTTGACTATATAGCATGTAGCGCCGTATTTTTCAAACCAAAGGTCGTCCATATCAACATCCTCCAAATCAGGCACGAAAAAGTCGTTAATCATGGCTCTATAGCGTTTCCTATTGACTGCAACATTATGGCTCTCTTTCTGAAGAAATATGGACCAATGATTTCCTCTGCCTATAGAGCACATCAAACAGTGACCTTTTGAGGATGTAACGACCTCTCAACAATAGCTATGATAACTATCATCACTCCAAATGCGACAATTTTGTTTACTAACGTACCCAATCAACCAAAAGTGAGCTTCATCGCTGAACAAAAGTTTCTTGTGAAAATCGGCATCGGTGGCCATTTCGTTTTGTTCCCATTCACCGAATATGCGATGCGCTTGATAGTCGCCCGGCTTCAATTCTTGAACAGGTTGGATCTTCTTAGCCCGCAAGCCAAAAACCGAAAAAATATTGCCTAATTAAAAACCCCACGTTGAAAAAAACACCCGTTGCAATATTAGTTTTTTTATTGTTAAAAGTTAATACAGATTCCCAGCGCCCGGAATAACTTAATGCGATTAAATATCTTGCGAAACTAAAAACAATAAAATAATTTTTTTTTGTAAAGTAGTGTTTTTATTTATGTTAAGTACAACTTATAATAAGTTTCTCATAAAATCCTAAAGTAATACAGCCTTTAGGGCGTTCAAAGCGATCAAACCTAATGTGTGCGATTTTACTTTAAAATTTATACTTTTTTTAAATTAAATTATCTTAGAAAATAAAAATAAATTTCTAGTCTTCTGCTTAAAGAAAATTTTCGTATTGTATATAAAAATGCTTTCACTTAAAGAATTTTTTGTTAAACGCTATCTAAATTAAAGATAGTTTAATTTCAATAGCAAATTTAAAGTGTTTTGTTTATAATAATTTGTGTTTAATATTTCGTTTTTTCGTCAATATACGCCAATATACTTTGTGACACCGAAAAGTGAAAGTTTTAATTTATTATAAACATTTTAGTTTCTTTTTTCTCAAAAAAAGAAAAACCCACAGCGGGTTTCAGCAGGTAATAATCATCAACAGCAATCGTCCAAAGGATGAATGCCAATAAGTAAAATTAAAGCACCCATTCCTATGCACGACTGTTGCCAACAAACAAGGTGACGAGGTTTGTGGTTCCAAATTTGTTTAAAACATAATTTTTTTTTTAATTTTTTAGCTTAAATTCCATCTGATAAATCGAAAATACAAATTGTTGTTAATTTCTTGTAGGAGTGTTTACTTACATGCTAACATATGTGGTAGTTGCCGGAAATCTGAAATTTTTTTTTATAAATTGTTGGTTTCTTCATTTGAAAATATTAATTTATCGTAAATAAATTAAAGATTTTAAAATATTTTTTATCATTTTTAATTTTATTTAATTGTCACCTTTGTTCAACTTAAGTAAATTGGAGCATCTAAAACATTTTCTTAATATATCTATCTATATTTATGTGGTATGTGTGTCTATATATTCAGCAAATATAAAATTACACTCCTTAATGTGCTTAAGATCGCTTCTATTTCTTAGCATTGAACAAAAATGCTTCCAACAACAAAATAAATTATTTTCTTCTTTTATATGGCTTCGGCAAACGAAACTGTGTGAATTTCACGCACTTTTCTAAATTTTGCATTTTTTCATTTTTTATAATTTTTTATATAAAAAAGTAGTATGTAGATCTAAATTCATAAATTAGTTTAACTTAAATAAGAAAATAAAGTTTGAGTAGTATTTTTTTTTCTGCTGTTCTGCTGAAGTCCACCTGTCTGTGACACCCAACACACAATAAAAATTCGACGCTGACGCGTTCAGTCCCAAACGATGTTTGTGGTTGTTGTAGTAGTGGAGCAAAGCAGAGTATATTATGTAGTGAAAAATTAGAAACCTAAGCTGTAGGAATTTTATGGGCGGGTTGCGTACATTCTACGCGCACGCTCACCCTGTGGCATACAGGGTGTGCTCACAATGGGCATAAATAAGGTGTTTGCAGCATCTAACTGGCATCCGATCTGAAAAGGAAACGACGTTTACGCGGATCAATTTTAGCTTTGCTCAAACTGCGCGATCTTAAAGCACGATTTGCCTTCGCACTTTCAGCTTCGATGGTTTCAGTTTCAATGGGCGCATCAGCCGACGCAACAGCAGCTTCGCTCTCAGTTTCTTGCATATTCGCGACTGGCGCTGCCACAACTTCAGCTTCCCGCTCAGTCTCAGTGCTGATGGCCGACTTGACGGCTACATTAGCTTCACGGTCATCGGCATTCGTTTGTACAGCCTGTTCTACAGTTTGTACTATCGGTTCGACTACATTTTGTACGGTCTCAGCTTCAACTGGTAACTTTTTGAGTTCCGTGACGAATGCGCTGGGCTCTTCTGCGGTGAAAGATTCGGGTACTTGGACAGCGCTGACCTCAGGCTCGGACACTCGATGATAAATGGGAAAAATGATATCCTCGGTAGGTGTTTGTTCAGCTGATACTTCTTGCGGCGTTGACCCTTTTTCCGAACTAAATTTCAACTCAACAGGCCTGTCGACGTTGCTTGAGTCGACAATAAGTTCCATGGGTGCACCTTTCTCATCGGCGGGTGCTTGATCTAAGCGCTCTTTAACCAATTCAACGATATCGTCGATGCTGATGGGTCTGAAAGCTACAGGAGCGGCGAGTTGTGCTACTTCTCTTTCAGCCTCTGGCACAGTCTCCACAGTTTCGGTCAGAGCTGGTTGTACAGCTTCTAGTGCGGTTTTCACACCTTCAGCGGTAGCAGATTGCACAGTTTCGGGTTCAGTTTCAACAAACTCGACATTAGCGGGTTGAGCTTCTGGCTCGGTTTCTGCAACTGGGATAATTTCTGCTTCGGTCTTTTCGGGCAGGAATTTCAATTGTTCTTCAGTTTCTGCTACAGCTGGCGCTGATTCTTTTACATTCTCTGGTGCTTCAAATTTTACTTCCTCCGCATTAATTTCCACTTGTGGTTCTTGCACTTCGGTTTCGGCATTTTTTTCCTCTTCGTAAGGTGTTTGAATGATTGTTACAGGAATTTGGTACATGTTGGCAGGGAAACTGTTGGAGATTGGGAATTTAAGAAGAGGTGAAACTTTCACACTCTCTTCTGTGACCGGCTCGTTGTCTGCTACAACAGGGACATTTTCTGTTTCACTTGCTAATGCTTCTTCAGGAGCTACGGTTTTCAGTAAGTTCATTTCGGATTCAGCTGCAATGGGTACTTCTTCGGGCTGGGGTTCGGCTTCCACAATTTTTTCTTCACTCTGTGGTGTTTCAATCTCAATTTTAGCATCTTCACTTTCAACAGAAGCTTCTTCTTCCGCTGGTTCTGGTAGAGTGGGTTTTTCATTAGTATGAGCACTCTTTAGAGTATTGATAAAGTCTGAGATAAGTGCTTCCGCTTCCGCAGCCACTTCGGGATCTACTGCTTTGAAACCGCCAACAGTCTGGAAGTGAGCTTCATTGCCCTCAAAAGCTTGTTGTACAATAGGATCTTGTTGCTCCATTTCAGGTGAAGCAGGCATAATTTCAACAGCATTGGCTGGCTTCTGTTCTTCTAACTCTTCAAGTGAGGGCAAAGCAGACAAAGATTCCTCTGTATTTTCAATAGGTGCAATCACTTCGGGCTCGACTTCAAGAGCAAGTGGCTCAGAAGCGCCAGCTAATTGATCCTCGGTATGTTCAGTAAACTGTTCAGGCTGTGCTTGTTCTTCAGACTGTGTTGGAGTTTCTACATTGATTTGTTGGTCTGCGGCTACTTCCTCTAGTTTTTCTTCTGTTGGCGCTTTTGAAAGAGCATCAACAATCACAGCTGGCTTACCTTCGATAGATTCTATGGCTTCAACGGCTTGTGCTTCCTTTTCAGGTTCTGCTTCAGATGGTACTAGTAACTCGGCCACAATTGGTTCCTCAACTTTTTTCACCTTTTCCGTTGGGGCTTCTTCGGATTTTGAAACTTCCTCAGCAATAGGTTCTTCAATTTTAATTGTTTCTTCTGAAATTTGCGATACATCTTCAGGTTTAGCTCTTACAACTGGCTGCGCCAACTCATTCGACGCTACAAAAGCATTATCCGCTTGTTCAGTTTCGGCTTGAGGAACAAGTGGTTGTACGGCGATTGTTTTCAAAGTCTGCTCTGAGTCCACGGCAACTTCACCGGTTTCAGAAGCTTGTGGTTCGGCATCTGCGATGATTGGAGTTTCGGCGTCAGCAACTGGCAATTCTACACCAACTTGCGCTACAGGTTCTTCAACCGCTACAATTTCCTTCTGTGCTTGTACTGGACTAGCACCCAAGTTGGATTCGAATTTAACTGCTGACACAATAGGTTCTACAACCTCTACAGCTTCGGGGGCGGTCTCGACGGCAACGGGCACATCATCAGACACTTTAGTCACAATATTATTTTTGTGTGCCAATGTGGGACGTCTACGTTTGTATGATTCTGGGTTACTGACAGTGTGCACTAGCTCAATTTTGAAGGGTTGGGCAGGCACTTCAACGACTTCTTTCTCGCTATTGAATGAGACAGTGGGACGTTTCTTGTAGCGGGATGGCACTACCTTTACCTCATCTTCATTAGCTGATTGTACAGGTACTACTTCAGCAGGTACAGAAAGAGGTGCGATGGCACCGACATTGGGCATCTTGCGTAACGGCATAATTGATGGCAGTTTATTAGTGGGATAAACTGCTTGGTCTGGTTGTGGTTTCGGTTGTGGCTTCCTACGATTGGGTTTCTGCACCTTCACAGGCTTAACTGGCTTGGCTGGTTTTGGTGCTGGAACAGCTGCTTGTTGGGCAACAGCTTGTTCCACTTCTTGTTCGACGGGCTCAGCTGGCTCCGCTGGTTGGGCTTCCGCTTGCTCTTCGTTAGCTTGCACATTAATGGAGTTAACGTTCTGTTCTTCTGTATTACCAAAATTGCGGTTCAGTTCATAGTAGTTAACAGAGTCTTCACATGAGAAAGCAATATCTTCGCGTCGCATACAGGTAAATGATTCCTACGAAAAGAAAATAGTGATGTTAATGAATAATGCATTGGTATATTTACGAAGAAACAACTTACCTGACTGAACACAGTCTCTTCAGGACAGATGAAACTCCAACGGAATGTATTCTCTTTGCCATCAGCATACGTTACCGGTAAACAGACGTGGAATATCTGGCAGTCATTCTCCACGTCCGCATAATAACCATAAACCTTATCATCGCACGAGAAGCTATCGGTGATGTCGGCGCGTATCGATGTCGCATTGCTAGGCAAGGTCAGTGTTGACGGCATTTCGGGGTACTCAGGCGCCAGTGGCTCTGGTGCGGGACGCTCAAGCTCGGCATCCTCTTCACGCAGCACAATGGGTACATTTCGCTGAAAGTAGACAAATTGCAAACCTTTTATTTTTTATTTTTTGCGAAGAAAGAGCTACGGTTGTGGCAGTGTAAAGAGCGCCCACATTAGACCAGATCTATCCATCAGTTTCTCCTCATTACTTTGCTATTATGCATGCACGAAATTTATGTAATCCCTGCGCTGCATTTCAAGTAGGCATCGTAGCCACCAAAAACGCTACGCCACTGTCACATATACGCACGTGACCGCGGGCGCCAGTCGCTTGGCGTGCGTGCTGCGGCGTTTACCGCTGCCTGATGTGTTGTTGTTGGGTGAAATGTAGTGGAATTTGGAAATCAATCAACGGTTCGAGCAAATCGTCAATTTTGGTTGCAAAATGGCGCAACTGTAATCGAAACAAACAGTTGCGCGGCCGCACCGTCGATGGGTCGCTTGGCCTTATGGGCGGCAAAAAGCAATTGCAAAACAAAATTTCACCTGCTGTTCTAGTTTGGCTACGCTAGGTGCGAAGTGAAACCACAAACGCACAAATATATTCAAGTATATATAATCTATGTGTGTGTGTTGAAATGCCTCCCATTAGGGTGCACATTTTTGGTAAGTATTGCGTCTGCGCGGAACTGCGTTGTTTTGACACTTTTCGCTTCAACGGCAGTCGGTTGCACCTGCGCGCGTATGTAAATAAACTTTCGTTCGCCTGCTGAACGCTAAGCGGATGCATTTTCTTGCGACATCGCCGAATTATTTAGTTATTTTTGAAGTCTTAATATTTCTTTATTTTTTCTTAGTAGCTTCGAATGACTCTTAGCTTCTTTGTTGCTTATTTTAATATCGTTTTTTTATTGATATTAATTTCTTTTTATTGCGTACTTTCCGATTTGCGTAAAAGTCACCATGATTTGTTGCATTTTAATGAGACTCTTTAATAGTTGATTACTTAGGCCGTCAATGATTCAGTGGACGCAGTGATTTATAATGATTTATGACCTGTGGCCGTCAGTTTATAGTCTTTGTTCGTCAGTTCAATAATGTTGAGTTGAAGAAATTCTTCAAGAATGGTTGGCTCAATTTTTAGTTACTCGCAGAAGGTTTACTAGAAGATCCCGTCATAACTCGAAATAATAAAAAATATAAGCAACGAAATCTTTTTGCAATCTGTTTTGTATTAGTTAGAGTATGCTGCTAATATCTTTTGAACTACGCTTGCTTTATTGTTTTTTTTTCGGTGTTTCTCCACTTTTGTGGTAAACTTTGATATTCTTGGCGATATAAATAGCCGATAATTGTTAATCTGAAAGTTAGTTCAGATCTATATTGACGTTATTTAATATAATGGATATCGATGAAGGAGACAACAAATGATATAGGCACTAAGAAAGTGAATATTACGTGAGAATTTTGAGTTATTATGAACAAAAGGCTAATAAAACCGCTCTGTGTCCAGTTTTTTTTTTTAATAAGTTTGTATCTGTAAGTTAGTATCTGTCCTGTAGTTTTGATTTGATTATTTTATTCTAACCATTCATGGTCTAAATTCTTTTGAATTTGTATGCGGAAATCAAACTACTCTTAAAAGGTTCTCACATTTATAACTAGTTTTGAGAATAAATTGCCTTAAAGTAATATTTCTAAAAAAGTTGCTAATCGAATTCCAGCCAATCTGGCAATAATAGGAGAGTATTAAGTGATATGAAAACAAGAACAAATGTTAATTTCGATTACTCGGAAGTTATAATATCCTTAAAAAAATATTGAATTTCATAAAATCATTTTTGAGTGGTCAGTTTATATAGCTGTCAAATATCGTGAAGATATACATTGTCAAGTTTATAAGTTCGCCATACAAGGATTTGATTGCGATCAGTTTGTATGGCAGCAATTTGTTATAGTGATCCGGTATCGACAGTGCCGATAAATGAGCAGTCTCTTGGTGAAAAATGGACGGGTGCAACATTTCAGATCGATATCTCAAAAACTGTCTGTACAGACGGACAGACAGGCAGATACAAAGGACATGGCTAAATCGACTTACCTCGTCACGTTGATCATTTATATACAATATATATTTTAATAGGGTCTCTGATATTTATTCTGGGTGATACAAACGTCATAGCATAGAATGAAAATGAAATAACCATATATACATACGAGGTCTTATTTAATATTTTTCAAGACTACTGCCACGAATACTACTAAAAAGCGTGTATCCGGCAGTCGGGATATAGAAACAACCAGTTGTCACAGAGAGTTGAGCAGGACGTAAACAGAAAACTAAACCACCGCCTTTTTTAATAATTTTAAGGGACTGATGGACTTTTTCCAAACATAAAATAAATATATAAAAATCAATTAAAAAGGTTTGCAAATAACAAATGATGGAAAGACGTATGGAAACAGAATCGCTGATAAGTAAATTGTTGAAATTTTTGCTCACAAATTGTCTCTTACTGCACTATCGCTCCTTAGGTACCCACGTAGCCGTAAACAACTTTTTTTTAATTTCTACCTATTTTTTAATCCATAATTCTTGACATTATGCAGAATGGGTGTATATTCAAGTACCTAAAATGTAAGTTCTATACCGACCATTCGTAGACTACATAAAGGAAGCCCAAAAGTGGAGCGGCAAACCATTTCAGCGACTGCATAACCATTTTGCAACACGACCGAATAGGAAGCGCTGAAAATTCAGAATTATTCTACAGCATTTATGTTCGATTTTTTAAACGTTTTTGTTGCTTTGCTTTATAAATTCTTAGCTTATATGGTTTGGCGTGGTATTGACTAAAGCTGGCAACCCAATGAGTCAGAGTGAAAGAGGTAAAAGAAGTGAGCCATCGTGAAAGCAGAGAATGTTTGCATGTATATAATACAGAATCAAACCGGTGTTCAAATGTTTGTCTGTTAAGTTCTTGACGGCATAACTAAATGTCTGGAATTTCAATGAATGAAGTAAGTCGGAGTCTTAACCGCGCTGCTGGTTATAAATGTTGGGCGCTACCTTTCTCCTTGAGCAACAACCAACCGCCTGCGCATTTTGTGGTCTACGGTCGTATTACTTCCGTTTGTCATCGCGCAAATGGCACACGACGATTAACGGAAGTGCTTACATGTATGTAGAGAGCCAGTAAGACACACTAATATTGTATATATATTTATAATTATACATGTATGTGGTTCGCTAGTTTTTATGTGTTCGGTTTCCTCTTCAATACAATTCCAACTTCCAATTTGATAAGAACCACACATATTAGTATATTTCTATGTGTATGTGTGTGTAATTAAAGCACTCCTATCCACATACGACATTTAGCCTGCAAATTTAATAATAATTTTTTTTTTTAATTCTTTCCAACGCACCTTAACTCCATGCAGCGGTCCGGCCAGGCAGCAGCCACTAAGGCACACTAAGAGTAAAGTGTGCTTCCACATATCTCCTTTACGCTCGCGACAGCTGTAACTTTTATTCACTAAAAAAATGCCACGGATTTGTTAAAAAAAAATTTTTCCTGAAAATCAAACGTTCACTTTTTCACACTTTCAGTTTTCGTTTGCTAATTTTTGTTACTTTCAAAAGCTAGTTCGTTTGAGATTCGCGTAAAAAATTTCCGAAAATGCACATTAATCCTTTTTGGTAATTTTGTTGTTGGTTTTTTGCACAGTTGCCGCTAATCCGCTGTATTATTGCGACTCTGTTTTTTGTTGTTGTTGGCTGGGCTATTTATTTCGTATGTCTGTCTGTTGGTTGGCTTGGTGGTTTGTAATTTTCTAAAAAAAAATGTTGCTTCAGACCAAAGCTCGCACTCGCTTCCACTGTGAGGCTCCGTTGGCTGAATGTTACTAACTGCGACTGTTTCGGGTGCGTTACTCGCCATTTATATTCTTCACTTTGATTTATTAAGAATTCAATGAAGAGACCACACCAACACCACCAAGAAGTGCGCAAACACATAGGCGCGAGCACATGCAGCTACAACACCCACATATATGTATGCAAGCGCGCACGTTATTGTGTGTTTGTGTGCTAGAGTTTGGACATTATGCTGAGCCGCAGCACAACACCGGTTAAGCCACCGACTTGCCAACTCTGCGGCAATGGCATTGACAGTGAGGCGCTGTGTACACAAACTACTACAATTGTCAACATAGCTAATACCAACAACAACAGCAGCTACTACCACTACACCGGCGCATTATGAATTCATTAATTTCTACGAAGTATTTTGCTACATTGCGGGTGTTTAGGTTGGCGCGCGCATATTCGCTTTGCATTCATTGTTTCGCTGTTGTTGTTGTTGTGCATTGCGCCTGCACTTTGCAATTAGCCAGTGTGCGGCCGCTCGAAGAATGGATTTTGCATGCGTAGCACTACAGATAGCAGTGGCGTGGAGCGCTCGGTTATGAAAGTATGTAAATGAGCTTATGCGTAGCTGGGTGACATACAGTTAAGAGAGTGAGAGTTGCGGCGCTCAGCATAAAAAGAGAGTGATATTCAGTTGTTCTATGTGTAAGAAAAATCCCAAATTATAAAAATACTTCATATATCCTGACTAAGAGAGACGATAGAGATCCATATTCCTGCTCTGAAGCAATGGCGAATCGATCAACAAGTGTTATAAATGTAAAAAAGTCGCATACTTGAAAACCATAAATACAAGTATCATTTATGGCTATAAAGTTATTTAAGTTCAACTGGGAAACCTTATCATGGCATTTACACACAGAGAGAAAGAGAGAGGGAACAAAGGTGAAGTTGTGGCGGACTAGAAAAAAAATTTTTAGTTGATCAAAAACCAAGATTGTACCCATGTCCTGCATAATTTTGATCATTACATCACAAATGCTGCCTAAATACATACAGTTGATTACAGAAGAAGAAAAAAAGTTAACTTCGGTTGCACTGAAGCTAGAATAACTTTCACAAATAAAAAGTTGGCGCAAATGTGTAGGATGTAGCAGGATGTTTTAAAGGGCGTGATAAAGCAGTTAAGCAATACTCTCTTCATTGAAGAGCATTGTATCTTTCAGGAAGACTCTACTCCAGCACACAAGACAAAAACCACCCAGCAATGACTCAAAAACAATATTCCTGGTTTCATAGTTGCAGATGATTGGCCGTCTGGAAGTCCAGATTTGAATACATCGTATTACAGTTTGTGGTTAGAGTTGGAGAACATGACCTGTCGAGTAGCCTACAGAAGTTTAGAGTGCTTAAAAAAGTTTTTGGTTCGCGCGTCGTTAATACCAATAGAAACTGTGCGTGCTGCTATTGTTCAGGGTAAGTCAATACACGAACAATATCTTCTAATGAAGAATTTAGTTTAAGGTTTCATGCACAAGAAGACGGCAGTGAAAGTCCTTTGTTTTTAGCGCCGTCGGAGATGGCAAGTAACGCGAAAAATATTTTAGTTATTCAAAAGTTTTGCTGTGTATTTTTTAAAGTTTTTTTTTTTTTTTGAACTCCCAAAAATCGTCTCTTTTAGGCAATAATGTTCCAACACATGTATCGGTTTCTAGGGTAAAGCACAGTTTAAAGATCTCAAAAGCCAAATTCTAAATTTTGCTTTTCCCATATTAGTTAAAAAGACAACAGAAGGAGCAGTTATGTTGTACGAAAGTCTATGATAACGTAATGATTAATAGACAGTTGTCATCCATCTATTACATACTTGTATATATAAATTTTGGGCAATATAACCATGGCCTGAATGAGCTTTATGACTTTTATATCACGAAAAAAATTTAACGATTACCTCAAACCTGTCCTGTCGTTCGAAGAAGAATAGACAATTTTTAATTGTAATAGAACCTGGAAAAGAGTGAAGAACCTTACTCATCCTCATCCCATCACCCAAAACCTTACTTACTAACATATTAACAAATTAGATGTGTGTCTTCACTGGAAGTCAAAACAAAATATGACATAAAGGCGCCTCATTATGAGCAATATATTTATTATTTATTAATCTCCTACGAGTAGTTGGGAGCATTTGCAAAGTTCATTGGAACTACGAAAACATTTAAGCAACTACTTGTCTTATTATTCATCAAGAAGAAACCAAGTCGAGTGTGCTTTTTCAAGTGTAAATTTCCACGGGATTTTTGACGACAAAGTAGTAAGTGAACGAGTACACATAAAAACAACTACAAAGCATTTTAAATGACAACATAAATATTGGTAACAAGCATTAGATTATATTTTTGTTGTTGGAAATATAAAAATATCACACACAACAATATCTATACATATATACTTACATACATATATGTGAATTCAAGATGACTCAACTAAAAGATTTCGCAGGTCGTACGCGCGCTGATACCCATCAACTTATTGGGCTGCATGCCCTGAAGAAGAAGAGGCAAAAAGAAGTAAAAACGTGATTTTGCAATTATCAACGGTGAGACATCAACAATCAAATCATAACAGTAAGAACAATTACATAATAGGTGAGCTGCAAAAATGAATTGGCAATATCACACACACTCAAACATGTCTACTAAAATGCACACGCACTAACATCACTCAATACTTATTAATGTCGGTTAACTCTTCAGTGGCAATCAAAGAAAGTTAAGTAAATAAATGTGTGGCAAGTGAGGAAGTTTAAGTGGACGAGAATCAAAACATTTCAATTTTTCTAATTGTTAGCCAAAGTTCATTGCCACAAGCATAAAAGGATTATGCAATGCTGAAGTATTATATGATGACAAATGAAAAATCATACTCGACAAATTTGTGCGTTCGCGTGTGTATGTAAATGTGCACACGCACAGCGATTATATTTCGAACGCGTCTATCCGAATTGGAAAGCCTAAATTCATAAATTAAAACTCTTTTAGGCTTTCAACAAGCCATTTGTCAAAATACATAGTCTAGCTTCTAGGCTAGTTTAATGTGGTGTGTATGCTCGCGTGTGTGAGGAGGTTTCTAAAATGGTTGCGCATGCGCGTCAATTTGCTTGTAATTCTTAACTATAATGTTACGACTCAGACTGGTGTTGTTAGACATATGTTTCGTCAATTCAATTGCATTTATTGCGCCTACCCAGTAAACATTTTGGATGACGCGAGGAGTGTTTCTTGTAATGTTCTTACTAATTGTAAGTTTATTTCTTTTTTTTCTAATAATTAATGGCAACTATAAACATTTTTTAAGGTAAAATATTTTGAAATCGTCGCATGCTTTCACTCAGCAGGTTCTCAAAGAAGATTTATAGATATCTCTTCTGAACGCACTATAGCTGGGTGTCGGTCTCGGCCGCGTCGATAAGCCTGCGCCAGTAGTCTTTATTACGCACGTCGGCACCAGTTAGTGATTTCAAGTTTTAGCGAGTCTATACCAACTTGATTCTTCCATCTGAGTAATCTGGATCCTAAATAGACTAGATAGAAGTCTTTTACTACCTCGAAGTTTTAACAATCAACAATGACAGATCATTTTTTTAATGGCAGGAGGTACTTCGTCTTATCTTCGTTCGCCAGCAGACTCATCTGCTTCGCTTCTTTTTCTAAGCTTTAGCATATACACACGGTCCTGTTGCTGCCGCCGACTATGTTGATATCGTCAGCAAGAGTTCTAACTAATATAAATATTTATCCGAGGGCGGATTTAGACATGTACATAGGTTGGGATCATTACTACGACTAGTTGAGTGTTGGGTTTTGAATCTCGGATGTGACAAATAAATCAAAATTAAAATCACACGATTTCACAGACCACATATCCAAAATATCACCGACTGAGAAACACTTTTCATAAAAGTGCCTGAGGTATTCATATCGTAATAAACGAGGAACATGCGTAGATTGTTGTAGGGAGCAAACAAGGCACTGAGGTTACCACCGTTTTAAGTATCTATTCAATTATTTCTGTTATAAATATTTATGTTTCATTCAAAAATCGACAAATTTTAATAGGAAAATTTAATACATGTTGATCTTTTCGCTCACTGGGCTCAACTAATAAAAATATGAGTACATTATAGTTCTATAACAACTGCTGAAAAGTTTTAAATTCAATTGTTGTTGCAACCTAACTTGCTTGTTATTATTTATTTATAATAAACTTCAGCAGTTCGTTGGTGAATTGCCAACCGCAGTAAAGTTCCAGTATAAACGAGTGTAACGCACGTACACATACGTACATACACAACTACGAGTGATAGTGTTTGTGGGCGTCTAGGCGTATGACTATTCATAATTTCGAACTTTTTATCACCTTTCCTCATTTCTTTCGTGCAGCGACGTTTTTTACGAATGCGATTAAATTGAGTAAGCAAATCGTTAATTGCGCCAATTTTTCGACTATTAATTCATTTATGTACGTAGAAGCGTTTGTGCACAGCTCGATTATTGAAATTTTGTGCTGTAAACTATTTGAAAATTTTCCTACATTTTAATTTTGTTTTTATAAAAATCACGTAGTTGACAAAAGCGAAAGCTTAAATGTCATTGGCATCGGAAATTAGTATAGAAATATGGTTTAAATATTACCACATAAACATTTCTTTTGTATGCAAGTCGAAATAACTTAATAAAATTGCGTTTAATTGTGATTATGGCGCTAAATAGCGAGCTCCCTTCACCACGCTTCACCTGTTGCTTGTGTATTTGTTTTTTGTTTTTATGAGCAATTTACTGTTTTCGTGGCTGCCATTGTTTCTCGCAAACCAAAAATCTTTATATAATACTTGTTTAACACATACACACACACATATATATATATATATGTATGTATATTGTATGCAAGCACAAAATATATTTTCAAAAAGAAAATATTATTTAAGTGCTGCAGTGGTGCCTCTATAGGCCAAGTGATCTTTTCTCTCTGCACT